AACTATGAACAGTACATAGAAGTGTAGAGGACCGTGTATTTAAACTATGGACAGTACATAGAAGTGTAGAGGACTGTGTATTTAAACTATGAACAGTACATAGAAGTGTAGAGGACCGTGTATTTAAACTATGAACAGTGCATAGAAGCGTAGAGGACCGTGTATTTAAACTATGAACAGTGCATAGAAGCATAGAGGGCCGTGTATTTAAACTATGAACAGTACATAGAAGTGTAGAGGACCGTGTATTTAAACTATGGACAGTGCATAGAAGTGTAGACGACTGTGTATTTAAACTATGGACAGTGCGAAAAGTTAAAAACCAGTGTATAAAAATAAAAATGTACCAGTGCATGAGTGAAGTGAAGTAAAAATCTAAACCAGAACCAAAATCAGAAACTAAAATGAGGTAGTAAGACATAAGATAAATAAAGTGACAGATACAGAACTGACTGGATGTGTAGGTATGGCAGTGCAAAAACAGATGAGGTTATGAAAAACAGTAGTGCAATCAACCTCAGCTCCAGGTTCAGGAGAAAACAAGTCCAGATTGTATTGAAATTCACGCTTTTTAATCCCTCACTGTATTTACAGAATAGAGTAAAGTACAGATTATCACAATTTGTCTCACAGGCCTTCAGATGGAGGGTGGGTGAAAGTGTTTGAGGCCACGAAACACTTTTGCAGTTTCAGGTGTAAACAGAGTTGCAGCCGAACCCCAAAAACGATTGAAGTAAATGGCGACCAATTCGGTGTGTGAGCGTGAACATGGACGCAGCTCCCAACTGGACATCTATGATAAGAACTTGGTGTAAATGACGACGTGTGTGTTTAAATAAATGGTAATTAAAAACAACTTTTGTAACGAGTCCAGTAGATCGTCTCCTCTGGCAGCCACATCATGGTGGCAGTGTTGACGTGACAGTGACAGTCCACAAAATGTCCGCGTACACCACGAGTTTGTAATAAGATTCACATAATTGAATGTCTCGTGAAATTTGAACCATGGGATAAACGAACAATAAAGCTTGAAAAAAAAAAAAAGAAAGAAAGAACCTTCTTTATTACAAAACAAATATTTCATTGTCGCAGAAGTTTCCACTAATGTGTTGCTTTCCTTTCACCTTCTGTCCAGTTGGTCTCAAACTGCAGAATGTGATATTAAGGGAATTCTGGTTATGTTAATAAATGTGTGTGTGTGTGTAAATGAATGGTACTTACAGAAACCTTTAGGGTCGGTCCAGTAGATCGCTCCGACACGGCGGCAGTGGCTACAATCAGATCTTATGGGGGAAACTGCGACAGTCCACGATATGTCCGATAGAAGTCAGGTTTTTTTTAACCAATAAAAGATTGTTATTCTGGGCCTTTGCTAAGAATCTGCCAAAATCAGAAATGTCTTGGTCACAGAACCTGGACTCACATCTGGACTCAAAAGGACAAAACTACACTTTTACAAGTCTTACAAATGGCTTGTTTGTTTTCCTTTATTATTTTCTATTTGCTCACATTTATCATCGCAGTGTAATATCGTCCAAACATTCAAATGGTGGAGTGACTTTCTGTAAGAGGGTTTATCACCAACTACTTGACCTGTGAAAAATCTAGCTCGCTGCTCGACACATCTGCAGACCGTGCTGTGAACTGTGTGTTTGTACATTGTCCAAATAAGTATTTCAAGTATTTCACAACATTACATTTCACCACATGAACAAATATAAAGCCGTGATATATTTGAAAAGGTGAAAAATTGTAAAAAAAAAAAAAAAAAAGTCAAGTCCTGGAATATATTGCATGAAAAAGCTTTTTTATTACAAGAGAAATAGAAAAGATAAAAGCATTGTTGGCATCGTATGGTTCTTATCACAGCACAAAAAGCACCACAGACACAACAACCGAAATGACGGAGAAAGAGACAGAAAGAATGTCTGATCAAATAATGAGTGGTGTTGGATCAGAGAAAGAAAAAACACCAGCAGCACTGAGAACAGAGCCACAATCACAGAGCGTCTAGAAACAATGTACAGAGGGTCCATGAAGGCGTCATGGAGAGTTTGTAAAACCACAGAGCTCTATACAAAGTCAGGTGGGCGCCGCATGTCTTAACGAGACACATGGACGAGACAGACACATGTCAAACCCTCAAATACTTCATCTCAGAGTGGCCAAACCTGTCTGCGGGGACAGCAGTTTAAATCCTGGAAATATACTGTAACCCCCAACTCGATCATTTGGTTTGTCTCACAGGCTCAAGTTAACCCCGAGAGCACAAACACTCAGAGATGCTCTTTAGTTTTAGAATAAGTCAGGAGAGGTTCATGCCGCTTGCTGTGGATTATTAAAAACTAAACTGCAACCGAAGACGATAACAAAGATATGTGTATGTGTCCAAGTGATGTTAACTGTGTTTATTGGTCAGATATCTCAGACATATTGTAATATTCATGTAATGGTTGAGTTGTAAATGCTTTTTTTGTTTTTGTTCTGAGGAATTAACGTTAAAATTAAAAGACCTGTTCAGTGGCAGTTCAGAAACCTCTTTTGTTAACAATGTGCAGATTTATTCAGTTTGAGTTGTACAATAGAAATAGGATTAATACTAATTTTTTATTTTTTTTTTTATTCCATTGTTTTTGCTTGATTCTCAGTTTGTCAGACTTCAGGTTAAATAAAATATCTTTAAAGGGTGTAAAGTTCGACCTTGGCACGAGTAGGAAGTTGTTAGTTTTTGGTTTTGGATTGAATCATCAGTGTGGATGTGAATTGGCTGATTAAAACTGTAAAATAAGGCAGATCTTTGCTCGTCTTCTTCATTTTCTCACGAACGCCTGCACTTATTTGAAAGAACAGAAACCTGGCGCAGGCCGTGTTGTGTTTGAGCAATGTGTGAAATCGGAGATGTAGTTGAAAACCGCTGTTGAACTATTTAAATGAGCATATTTGTGATGTTATCAAAACCTACTTTCATTTAGTTTCCGCCAGGTTCGGATCTTAATCTGTTGTTCTGTTGTGTTTTCGGTTCACACATGCAGCTCCTGTGTGTGATGTCTGGAAAAGTTCGGTGGAGCGGAGCATGAAAGAAAAACACTTGTTCTCTCTCAACAGTGCAACTGGAGAAAAAGAAAGTTAGGTGAGTCTCAACCACAGTGTATTTTTTTGCAGTAACATCTGCTGCAGTTTTGAATCTTTGGTGAAGATTTTTTCCTACTTCTATTTATATTTAACAAATACTTTTCTGATCAAAACACTTCGGATTGACTTTTGGGGAGATGTAACTTCGTCTCTCTATTATTTAGAGTTGTAATCTGCCACTCAACCACTAGTAGCCACTGAACCGTGCACCCTGCACCTTTAAAGCTTCTTCTTCCTGTCGGGCTGCTTCGTAAATATTACCCACGTGTAAAGCTTGGGGGACGTGACTAAGCAAGTGAGGCTGCATGGAGTGAGGCCAGCTTTCAAGAAAACAGTTTCACAGCTACTTGATAAATTGTGCTGCGGCGCCCAAACATCCACAGCAGCTTCAGAGGCTGTTGAATGTGGCTTCACAGACTTTTAAGCCCAAATGATCCAAATCCCGAGAGACAGACAGACAGACAGACAGACAGACAGCGGTGGAGTTATGTTAAACAGAAGCAGAGGTTTTAAAAATTATGAAATTATTATTTTTACACCTGTAAATACGAGACGGTTTGACCTTTTGGTCCTTTAGCCACGTGGATCGTGCCACATAAGCTCGTCCTAGAGATCATGTGACACCACCACATACACTTTAACACCGTGAGAATACATACATATTCAAATGTCTTTTTTTTTTTTAACGTGTTCAAGGTACATGCGTTCACGTGTAAACATAGACTCAGCCGATTATAGGCTTTGGATTCATGGGAGTCAGATAGATAGGCTACATACTAACACACACACACACACGCACGCACGCACGCACGCACGCACACACACACACACACACACCTGAGATGCCTATTGGGCCAGATTGTTCAACAATACTATAGCTTCAGTTTCCTTTCAAGTGTGAGACGTATATGGAAGTCGTGTGCTATCAGTTGCGGCAGTGGGTGAGTCTTCTGGCAGTGCTGAGTCAGACGGGTGGTTTAACCCACGTAGCTTTGACAAGACGGGTCATTTAAGATGGAGACGACAGAAGATATTCCGCTAAGTACATCAGAATAAAATATAGATGGAGTCAACATATACTCTACCTCATTGATAAATATATACTGTATAATTCGTACTGATGACATCTTCACTCACTAAACCTAATCAACAACAGTAAACTATTAGAATTCAGTAAATATTCTAGAAAATCTACTAAACAGAGCTCGGTAAAGGTGGAAGCACACGTGTTAAGTCCTCGAGACTAAAACCATGAATATCAGTCAACGTAAAATAAAAAGCATTCTACGGTCATGCTTGATCTGGAAATCACAGTAAATCACCGACTGAAGCAACTGCTGTAAAAACCATATCGTGTACTAGAGTGTAGATTGCACAACTAATAACAATAACAGGAATAATACAATCTAGAGCTCTGAATTGAAATAGTAAATTACTGATGTTGCGACCTCTTAAATATAAACACCAAATAAAACCTTCTGCTTGTGACGATGATAATACTCTAAATAATTACGATAGTCGAGTCAGTTCATTGTAAACACTGTCTTCCTCTTGTCAATAAGACGATGTCCCCCGATTCAGCTTCCGAGCACCGAATGTGGACACGCACCACAAAGAGAGAAAATCTTCAAGATTAGCAATTGAACCCCTGATAATTGGAATGAAACTGAATTCCTGCAAAAAAAAAAAAAATGCTGTAAATTGAAAATTGAAATGAATTGAGCTGTGTCCCAGTTTACAGGCTGCCTCCCTGGAAGAACAGACTCGTCTCCGCGGGCTGACGGGGCAGTTTCAGAGGAAAGGCTCCTCCTCCAAACGCAGCCGTCCACAACACTGGTGTCCACGACTCTCAGTGTCCTACAATCTATCGCATGCCGGTCAATGGCTTAATGGTGCGTTCAAATTTCCTCTTCACCTCATAAAGTCAGGAAATGTCACATCACACTTATGAGGTACTTGGCTTCAGGCGGTCATCAGTCACTAAACGGGTCCAGAAGGTAATCAATGCAAGGTCTTAATTTCCACTGCGGATGATTTATCCACTGAATCTTTCTAAACACTCCACAAAAGCTGGATTGATATTCTAAGAGCAAAAATCTTTTCCAAGTAAAAGGACGTTTAGGCTGAACATTGTTTTGCCCTAAGAATCGTCTCAACAGGCTAAATTAAGTACGGCCTGACTCTCTGATTGGTGGAAGTTGTCGGGTTATATGTGGCCTCTCAGGGAAAAGCTGCGAAAGCTTGTCAGGGCTTTTAGAAATCATTAAGAACACACTTTAATGTTGACTGGCGGCTCAGATTCTCCTAAAAACAAGCTTAAAATAACATCATCACTGAAAGATAAGGCTGTAGCGCATTTTAACAGGGTTTTTAGGGATTTGCATTATTAAAACACTGAATTTCACATAATATTTCTTGCTTTACTGACATAATGGATGCCGGGCGTAAACTACGCTATTCATCCTCGCTAACAGTCGGTACATGATGGTAAACGCAGCGTTCCCTGTAAATGAAAGCGATGTGGATAGATTTCCTGTATCACTAACCTGGTGCACTGTTTCCCAGCTGCTCACCGTGTCTTAAAGCAGAGTCATTAACACTGTTTTTCACTGGTTTGTGTGACTTCTCAGTGACAAACACGGACATATCTGACTCTACGGGTTGACGAGGAACGCTTGAACGCAGCATCAGTTTTGGTCTGTGTGAGGTTAGACTGTATTATTTTGGGGGAGGAGGCACATGGTCGCCCATCTATCCTCCAAGTGAGGCAACCCCTGAATCTGAACACAGCTCCCATCATCTCAGTGTTGTCGCACAAACACAGGAGCTGCCCCCTGTGAGGTCACTGCTGATGTCATCTGGAGGTCTGAACCTGATTGGGCGGCTGGGCATAGAGGTACCTCCAGATGGCGTAGTAGTGTATGGCTGCTCCCATAGCTACAAACAGGTGCCAGATGGCATGAGCGAACGGGACAATGCCGTCGCTTTTGAAGAAGACCATCCCCAGACAGTAGCAGGCTCCGCCCAGCAGAAGCTCGCACAGGCCCGACTGCTCCGGCTGCGAAGAGACAGGAAGTTAAGTGTTTTACAGACATCGTAGTGGAGGCGTGTCAAAACCACACGGAGAGGCTCAGAGAGTGGGCTCACCATCGAGAGGATGACCAGGGCTGGAAAAACACCCATCACCGTGTAGCAGAACAACTCCATGATCTTGTACCTGGTACAGAGAGGGAGGGTGGAGCACGGCTGTTCATTCTTGACCACGGTAACAGAATGAGCGACTGAATAATCTCAGCTCAGAGATCCACTTGTACGTTTCTCTGAGATCTGCGTCTCATCGTGAGGAGGCACCAGGGCAGCAAGAGTTTGTCACTTCTTTTCAAGCGCCATCTTGATTTTTTTGAAACCAGAAGTAACCATATTTGGAAGAGAGGGAGGTGGAGCCTGACTGAGAGCTCGAGGAAGGTGGACGCCCTACTACACCTGCACCTATTGGACGGTACGAACTGTCAATCACACAGTATCCAAGCCCCAATGCAAGAGGCAACTTGTTGAAGACATGTTCACAACATTTTACCTGTGCAACAGAATTTCCCGTTTCTTCAAAATAAAAGACAGGATACTCTCATTCTTACTCTCAGGCCATTATCTTAATACCACTGAGTGTAATCAAGGACACAATAATAAATGATTTTAAATACCTGAAACTCAACAACGTGGCTTCATGAAAGCGCTTTAACTTAACTTTAAGTTTAATTGAATGTCTGTTCTCTCGTTGCAGCATCACATAAACCCACACACATGTTAACCGTTTCTGCACAGACAGGTTTAAAGATTTTCATTCGGGTGGAAGGACATTGTCGTACGGGGAGAAATGTAATAGAGGGACCTTTGAGTTGAGATTGTCTCATCACGTTGGAATATTAATTGGATCAATAAATAGAAATGCTGATAAAAGTAAAGGTTTGAATGCGTGAGCCGACCTCTCATGGAAGAAGAAGACGTAGGTGGTACCAAAAGAGGCCATGACCCACACCAACCAGCGCATGTGGCACGCCCAAGGACCCAGTTCCCGCAGGTTCAGCCTGGTCGTTTAAACAGAAACACACAAATATAGAATATATTCACACAGACACTGTCCACGCCTTCATAGACACACGCTGACAACAGGCTCTGTTGTTTACCATGGGGCGTAGGAGGCAGCGATGAAGAAGTAGATCACCATCCTGTCACACATGTGGAAACAGTGCTCCACAGACCTGAAGACAGAAACCAAGCAGCCTCATAACGACGGAGGGACACTGTTCATATATGCAGCATCAAAAATACAGAATACTAGAAAAACCGTAAATGTGTGTGTGTGTGTGTGTTTGTACCGTAAGTGGCTTTTCTTCCAGGCCACAGTGTGGAACAGGGTGGAGATGATGAAGAGCGAGCTGAGCCCCGCCCCGTACACCCAGGCCGACAACCGCTCCCATTGGTCCTCTGAATGGAGGTGCAACAGTGAGCTGCCCAGCAGGCTGGGGATTATCCATAACTACATGAATCATAACAGAAATGAGACATGAGACGGAGATCGATACTTAAGATAAACTGAAAATGTGTATTTAATGAATTGTGTGTGTGTGTGTGTGTGTGTGTGTGTGTGTGGTCTGAAAAAAACCTGATGGTGTCTCATTTATCTGGATTTTTTTCCTGCTTTCATGAGTGAGTGTGTTATTTCATCCTTCTGTGGTCGTGTGTGTGTGTGTGTGTGTGTGTGTGTGTGTGTGTGTGTGTG